GAAGGGAGAGATACAGAGTTAGAAACATTGATGAGAGAGAGTCATCGATCAGCTGCCTCTTGCACACCCCCTACTGGGGATATACCCGCAACCAAGGTACATGCCCTTGACCGGAATCGACCCTTCAGTCCCCAAGCCGACGCTCTATCCATTGAGCCAAACCGGTTTCGGCTAAAATATTTTATTTTTTAAGTTTGTCTTTGTTGTTGAAAGTATTACAGATATCTGCTTTGGGGTTTTTTGCGTATGTGCTTCCTCCCATTGACCCACCTCCTCCTTGCACTCATCGCTCCCAAGCCTTTGCCACACTACTAGTATTGTCTGTCGATCTAGAGAAATATTAAAAGTTTGCATTGAACTCACTGAAGAAAATATTCGTTTGGGACATGATCTGATACCAGGCAAGAGTATAAGGGAAAATAATTCCCCAGTTTTAATACTTACCTTGTGAATAAAAATAATTGTCTATTATAACTAAAGGTCTGATGCATGAAAATTCATTCACTGGAGGAGGATGTCCCTCAGCCTAGCCTTCCCCCTCTACAGTCCGGGAGCCTTCAGGGGTGGGAGGTAACCTGACAATCAGGGGAAGGTGACATCTCCATTACACCTCTGCTGCTGCCACTGCTGGCAGCGTAAGCCTCATCTGGCCCTGGTTACCTGAGCCTCAGGTAGCCCTGGACAGCTGGGCAACCGACATCTGAAGCTTGCCTGCACACCTGCCACTCTCTTACCCGAGTGTGGCTGAAAGTACTGGGGGACTCTGGTGGGGCTGAGGGGACTGGGCACTGCCTTCTTGTGGCTATGAGTGCCACCATATTTGTGATGGTGTGATGGCCAATTTGCATATTCCCTCTTTATTAGATAGGATTTTGTACAAACGTATATCATCCATATCTTTTGAGTGCCTTAAAGGGGTAAGAAAATTATTTCATTTATTATCCAATCCATTTGAGATTATAATTTTCTATCTCCACAGCAGAAACGGGAAGTAGAAATAGATTAAATAACTGGCTTTAAAAGAACTGAATTGCAACTTGGGGAAGGGAAAATAGGAAATCTGACAATCCAAGTTATTACTACAAATTTTATTACCTGGTAGACAAAATATATACACAATATAATGTTAAATAAACTAGAACTGCTGTAAATATGTATAGAGTTTTTGTGTTGAATTTTTGATTCTTGATATTACTGACTGCACATCAGAAACTCCAAGCTGATTCAGAATACTACATACAGCACAAATTCATTATTTCTATGAAAATGTTAAATCTCTGTAATCCCCTTTCACAAATCATTGCTAAAGCAAAAGAGAAAAAAATAATTCACTCAGAAAATATTTGTCCCAAGATTTAAAAAAAAAAAAATGCCTTTCTTTTGTTTTCTTTAACAATAGCACAAGAAATTATAGTCTCATCATCACATGGTTTCTTAATACTACCTACAGTACTAGCTTCAGTACTGGGAAGCTGTCAATTTGAAAAAGATTTATTAGTTAGTAGTTCATAAAAGTTTCAATTAAATAAAACTATTGTTCTCTAGAACAGAAAAAAAAAATGGCATGGAATCTTATGACCCATTGTGTTCAGAATATAAATAAGTGATTTTTTATAGTATATTGATTCCAATGCTGTTTAAAATATCTATAACTATTCCTGGGCTATTTATGAAGAAAAAACAAAAAAACAAAAAATCACTTTTTGTGTGAGTTGTAGAAATATTTTTGAAAATCTCTTAAATCAAACTGATGAGGCTTCTAAAAACATCTGTGGATTTTGAGGCCTAACTGAATCAAGAATCCTGGGATTTGTCCATTGAGTTTAGCATAATACAAGTACTAATTTGATTCTGTGAGGCACTTGGAATAAGTGGCTAAAATTGTAAAAAAGAAAAAAAGTGAAATATTTTTAAAATGTAAAAAGAGAATTAATCACTTCTAAATGTATTTTCCAAAAACAATGCTATATATATATGACAGAAAGAATACTGTCCTAATTTCCTTAATTTTCCTTAGACTTATCTATTTTCTTGATTATAAAGTGTAACCATAACCTGTAAAGTTGCTTGTAATCTTCAGAGTGTAACTAACTTCTCTGTAGAAACCACTAGAAAACAAATTGTAGGCTAGATGCCAACATATTCTAAAAAACGCCTTAGTTTAACAACAGCTGCTGTCAATTGATGCTGCTGGACAAAATACAAAAGATGCAGTTCAGGTGTGAAGCATCTAATTCACGAGAAACCTAGGGAGTCTTCACTGGACTCTTTATTATCTTTATTGAGAAGATTAAACTTGTCACCGATGAATTTTAGGATTGCATAAAGTATCTCCTCAGGAGTTATAGTTAGAACTAATTTCAAAGTACTTTGTATTCATGTAAATCAAAATCTTGCTGAAATACTTCAGGGTTACTTTCTTAGGAAATGTGAAATTGATGGGGAAAATCAACTTGTTTCTATTCTGAAGCACCTATTCTTCCCAGCTGCACGGGAGGTGGCCTTGGAAAACCCAGTGAATAAGGATACAAAGCATCTATGGGAAGATAAAGAAAAGCAACCTAATATGAACCCAGGCACCTGTCAGAGTGCAGAGATGGGATGGGAATGCAGCTATAGGAAATATCGCTGTGGGAGACTCTCAAGGAACAGGTGCAGTGTGTACAATCTGGGGAGCTGTGAGGTGAGATGTTTGGAGAGAGAAGCAAGTTGGGAGGTAATCCTGGCAGGGGAATACCAAAAGGAAAGGCATAAAGAAACAGGAATGATCAAGTACAGGTGATCATGACAACAGATGGATCAGGAAACGATCAAGCCGGTTAGGAGAGATGAGGATTGGCTAACAGAGGCTTACAGCTTTGATCTATAAACATCTGAGAGGCACCAGGGCATGAAGGTTAAGAGCTGAGACTGACTGCCTGATACTGCCACTTACTAGCTGTTTGACTTTAGGCAAGTAATTTAACTTTCTACCCCTCAATTTTCTTTTCTGTGGAATAGGGATAATAATAGCATGTATCAATATCAGTGAAGTGCTTGCAAACTCTTTTTATTCTAATAAGACTGACATTCTTAGGGAGAGGATAAATGTTTTTTTAAATTTCATTTTTTAAAAATCAAATATGTTTCTCTAACAGCAATGGTCAAGGTAGGTTGCAATGTTGTGACTATGGGCAGAAGAGCTCAAGAAGTCATTGTACTAACCCAGTGGTCAGCCAACTTATTAGTAAACAGAGCCAACTATCAACAGTACAATGATTGAAATTTCTTTTGAGCGTCAAATTTTTTAAACTTAAACTTCTTCTAATGCCATTTCTTCAAAATAGACTCATCGAGGCCTTGGTATTTTGTGGAAGAGCCACATTCAAGAGGCCAAAGAGCCGCATGAGGCTCGAGAGCTGCCGTTTGTCGGCCAAAGTACTAACCCAACATTTCCTCTTAACCTCCATATTCCATTATACATCAAACTGGTATATTGGTCCCAGAATTTTTATATTTATATATTAAGATGACCTTTTATCTGTCCCTACTTTGCTAACCATGTGTTTACATCAGGCTCCTAATCTCTAAGCTCTTTGAAAGCAATAGTCAAATAAAAAAATTCATTAGAAACTTTCAGATTTAAAACCTGATTTCCTAGGCCACTGATTATAATAATGCTGACAGTTCATTTGACCTCAATATTTTCTGATAAAGTTCTTTACCTGTATTTGGGTGAAATTAATGACTTTAAAGACATTACAGAGATCCAACAAAATGGATGTCCTTCTTTGGGTTCTAATTCTATGCATGATAAACTGGGAACCTTATACATTTAACCTTTGGCACATATTTCTTAAAATACAGATTCAACTGTAAAAGTCTAGCATTTGCAAACATTGTTCTAATTTGTTACTATCACCCTCTCTAACCCACAAGGCTTAGACCTGTACAAGGGATATGGCTTACAACATGAGACCTAATTTTTCCTTGATTGGTGCACATAATTTCTTCCCCCATCTTTATCCTCATGAGGAAAAACTGTGCATAGTGCAAATTAAATCGCTAAAAATTCCAATGAGAAGCCAGAAATATAGAAGTATAAAGTAAATATGCCATACATGTTTGTTTCAAGTAAGAAACAGTTTCCCTTCATCTGAAATGAGTTTATCTTTTAAACTCGGGGAAATTGAGCAGAACAAATAGATTATTTTCTTTGAAACAAATCAAAGTTACTTATGTCAAATATGCTACCTAATAGGAGTATTAGGAATTGTAACAACTGCAAATAGATATGATATAAAAGAAATGATGTTCAGTTTCTGATTTTAGCTGCTGCACTAGACTATGAAATCAGAGTTACTTATTTTTCATGAACTGCCATCATTGTTCTGTTGATCTAATCTATGTCCAATAAAGAGATGATCAAGAATTATTACAGATCCCACCAACTTGGTAGAATTCATCAATCTACTGGCATTTTTCTACTTAAAAGCCTTTAAAAGCAGACTATGACTGATGGTTTATCATTTCTTAAAGAGAATTTATGTATTTCTCTTTTCTGCTTTGCCTTAGGAATATTTCGGAAATGCTCAGTCTGATGTAATTCAGCCGTGATTACTGCACCACTATAGAAGTTGTAGCACAATTGCCAAAGCAGCTACAGTAACTATTCAAACCCAGACTTCAGCTTGTTGATTATCTTTTAAGGAAAAGCTCTGGACAAAAGGAACATAATCTTAACAAAGGAGTGATTGCAGGGCTTTAGAAAAGGAAGTGCTTAATTCCTTTGTAATTCATATTGTAATTCATGTTCCTTTTATGAACTAAAAATAATAATAATAATACTAATAATAAACGCATAAAGAAATGGAGAGATGTGTAGTATGAATACTTTATAGAAGCATGTTCGAAAATGAAATTCCTACAAATAGTTTAGCTGCCACAGCTGGAAATCTCTTAACTGCAGCACATATTTCTGTGATTGCTCTAATCCTGTGTGTTCCCTTCTCTATTTGCAGGCCGGCCAGTTATGATTGTGGTGGAATATATGGAGAACGGATCCCTAGACTCCTTTTTGCGGGTAAGGGTTTTTTGTTGTTGTTGTTTTTTGTTTTTTGGTGGGGTTTTTTTTTTCTGATGGCATTTAAATAAGCTATTCTGAGTTCTAGAATTAAATTATTTATCATCAATTAATTGTTGCATAATATGACCCATGGATTTTTCTATGAAGAATAACAGCATTTTCTCTAGGGTGCATTTCTCTCATACTGTGATGTATTAGAGTGTTATTAAAGGGGCAGTATATACACATAATAACATAATTTATTTCTCTTATAAATTCATTTACCATGCTAATATATATATTTCAAATAATGTTATAAAGAGATTCAATGAAACTCAGTTACTTCATGTAGCCATTCATTTCTCTTTATCACACTTAACTATGTAGTATGTTTTATGTTTTAAGCATTATCTGTAATGCTGAACCCCTTAATTGATGTTTATTGATCAACAATGACTCAAATTGATTTCAGAAAACGGGTTTAATCAACTTTGTCTCTCTCAATTTCATTTGGCTGACTATTCAAAACACAAAATGAAAAAGAATAAAAAATAGCAGAGATTTTATTTTTTCTGGAACAAAACATTTTAAAGTACTTTTTTAAAAAATATATATTTTATTGATTTTTACAGAGAGGAAGAGAGAGGGATAGAGAGTTAGAAACATCGATGAGAGAGAATCATCGATCAGCTGCCTCTTGCACACCCCCTGCTGGGAAGTGCCCGCAACCAAGGTACATGCCCTTGACCGGAATCGAACCTGGGACCTTTCAGTCCACAGGCCAACACTCTATCCACTGAGCCAAACCGGTTTCGGCTTAAAGTACTTTTTAAACTGGCTTTTTCTTAACAGTACAAGAGACCCAGTGCACAACATTCATACACTGGTGGGAGGAATCCCTCAGCCCAGCCTGCACCCTCTCGCAGTCCGGGACCCCTCAGGGGACGTCTGCCTGCTGCAGCGGCCGGAGAGGCTTCACTGTGCTCGCCAGTTGTGAGCCCGGCTTCTGGCTGGGCAGCACTCCCCGCACCCCCCTCGCCATGAGAGCACATTGACCACCAGGGGGCAGCTCCTACGTTGAGCATCTGCCCCCTGGTGGTCAGTGCACATCATAGCAACCAGACATTCTGCTGTTAGGTTGATTTGCATATTAGCCTTTTATTATATAGGATGGTATATCTTAAAAATCTTTTGTTTTACATGAATGCATACCTAAGAGATATTGTGGATTTGGTTCCAGACCATCATAATAAAGCAAATATCACAATAAAGTAAATCACACGAATTTTTGGTTCCCAAGTGCATATAAAAGTTTTTACACTACACTGTAGTTTAGTCAGTGTGCAATGTTATTATGTTTACAAAAACAATGTACATACCTTAATTAAAAAACACTTTATGGCTTAAAAATGCTAACCATCATCTGAGCCATAACTGTCCTAATCTTTTTGCTGATGGCGGGTCTTGCCTGGATGTTGATGGCTGCTGATTAATCAAGCAGTGATTGCTGAAGGTTGGGGTGACTGTGGCAATTTCTTAAGATAACACAGCAATAAAGATTAACACAACTATTGACTCTTCCTTGCAGAAATGATTTCCCTATAGCAGATGATGCTGTTTGATGGAATTTTACCCACAGTGGAACTTCTTTCGAAATCAGAGCCAATCCTCTCAAACCCTGCCAACTGCTTTATCAATTAAGCTTATGTACTATTACAAACCCTTTGTTGTCATTTCAACAACCTTCACAACATCTTCACCCAGAGTAAATTCCATCTCAAGAACCACTTTCTTTGCTCACCTGTAGGAAGCAACTCCCCATCTATTAAAGTTTTACCATGAGATTGCAGCAATTCAGTCACCTCTTTAGGCTCCACTTCTGATTCTAGCTCCCTTACTACTTCCACCACACCTGAAGTTACTTCTTCCACTAAACTCTTGAATCCTCAAATCATCCATGAGGGTTGGAATAAACGTCTTCCTAATTCCTGTTCATGTTGATATTTTAATATCTTCCCATGAATTGTGAATGATGTTAATCACATCTGGAATACTTGATCCTTTCCAGAAGCTTTTCAATTGACTTTGCCCTGATCCATCAGAGGAATCACTATAAGGCTTGAGCCATGGGCAAGAAAACAGTATTAACCTCATTGTACATCTTCATCAGAGCTCTTAGGTAGCTAGATATATTGTCAATGAGCAGTAATATTTTAAAAGAAATCTCTTTTTCTGAGCAGTAGGTTTTGATAGTAGACTTAAAGTATTCAGTAAACCATGTCGTAAACAGATGTGCTTCCAGGCTTTGTTGGTCCATTTGTAAAGCACAGTCAGGGAAGATTTAGCATGATTCTTAAGGACCGTAGGATTTATGGCAAGGTAAGTGAGCACTGGCTTCAGTTTAAAGTCTCCAGTGCATGAGCCCCTAACCAGAGAGTCAGTCTGCCATTTAATGCTGTGAAGACAGGTATTGATTTTTTCTCCTCTCTAGCTATGAAAATTGTAGAAGGTTAACTATTGTTTAGTGTATAATCTCAGCTAGATTTTCTACAGAACGTTCTGCAGCTTCTGCCTCAGCACTGCACTTCTGTTGTGATGACAGCCTCTTTCGTTAAACCTCACGAACAGACCTCTACTAGCTTCAAGCTTTTCTTCTGCAGCTTCCTTACCTCTCTTGGTTTAAGGGAATGTGGTAGTTGGTTTGATCTTTTGTCCAGTCCACTAAACTTCTTCATTTCAGCAATTAGGCTGGATCACTTTCTGATTATTCATGTGTTCACTGGAATGGCACTTTCAGTTTCCTTCAAGAAATTTTCATGTGTATTCACAACTTGTGTAACTGGCACAAGAGGCCTCACTTTCAGCCTGTCTCCACTTTCGACATGCCTTCCTCACTAAACTTACTCATTTCTAGCTTTCAATTTAAAGTGAGAGACATATGACTCTTTCTTTCACTTGGACTTAAGAAGCCATTAAGGGTTATTGATTGACCTAATTTCAATATTGTTGTGTCAAAAGAAATAGGAAAGCCCAAGGAAAGACTGGGAGCTGGGGGGGAAGCTGGTCAATGGAGCAGTAAGAACACACACATTTATTGATTATGTTTACTTGTCATGACACCCCAAAACAAATACAATAGTAATATTAAATATTGCTGGTCACAAATCACCATGACAAATATAATAATAATGAAAATGTTTGAAATATTGCAAGAGTTACCAATGTGTGACATGGAGACACGAAATGAATAAATGCTGTTGAAAAAATGGCACTGATAGACCTGTTCATCAAAGGTTTGCCACAAACCTTCAATTTTAAAAACCAGTATCTGTGAAGCCTAATAAAATAAGGTGTGCCTGCAATAGTACAGAATAACAGAGCTGAGATGGCACCTTGAAGTTATATTTTAAAGTATGTTTATAATTAGGATTTAAAAGCTATCATATACAACAAAAAATCATTAATAGTTTTTTTTTTAAATAGCCTTAAGAAAAGCCCAGAGTGGCCAGAAGGAAGGAAATAATAAAGATCAGAGCAGAAATAAATGACATAGAGACAAAAAAAAAAAAACCAATACAAATGATCAATAAAAACCAAGAGCTGATTCTTTGAAAGGATAAACAAGATTGATGAACCTCTAGCCAGGCTCACCAAGAAACAAAGAGAGAGGACCTAAATAAACAAAATCAGAAATGAAGTAACAATTGACCCCATAGACAAACAAAGGATTATTTTAAAAAATATATATATATATATAACAAACAAATCTACTCCAACAAACTAGACAGCCTTGACAAAATGGACACTTTCCTAGAAAATACAAACTTCCAAAACTCAATCCAGAAATAAAAAAATGAAAAACAAAAAACAAAACAAAACAAGACAAAAAAAAAAACAACCCTGAAATAGTCTGAATTGAAGCAGTAATCAAAAAACTTCCAGCAAACAAAAGCCCAGGGCCAGATGGTTTCACAGAAGAGTTTTATCAAAGAACTAAAACAAATCCTCCTCAGACTATTCCAAAACATTCAAGAAGGCACACCTCCAAGCTCTTTCTATGAAGCCAGCATTAACCTAATCCCAACACAAGATAAAGACAACACAAAGAAAGAGAATTACAGACCAATATCCCTGATGAACCCAGATTCTAAAATCCTCAACAAAATTCTAGCAAATCAGATCCAGCATTACATTAGAAAGATCATATACCATGAACAACTGGGTTTTATTCCATGTATGCAAGGCTGGTACAATATCCACAAATCAATAAATGTTATACATCACATAAACAAGTTGAGAGACAAAAATTACATAATCAAATCAATTGATGCAGAAAAGACATTTGACAAAATCCAACACTTTTTCCTAATAAAAACTCTCAGCAAAGTGGGAATAGAGGGATCATTCCTCAACATAATAAAGGCCTTATATGACAAACCTACAGCCAACTTCATACTCAAGGGACGAAAACTAAAATCATTTTCCCCAAGAACAGGAACAAGACAGGGATGCCCATTCCTGTTCTACATAGTACTGGAAGTGCTAACCATAGCAATTCAGACAAGAAGAAGAAATAAAAGGCATCCAAGTTGAAAAGGAAGAAGTAAAATTGCCATTATTCACAGATGACATGATATAGTGCATAAAAAAACCCTAAAGACTCCATCAAAAAAACTACTAGAATTAATAAATAAATTCAGCAATGTAGCAGGATACAAAATCAACACCCAGAAATCTATGTATTTTTATACACCAATAATTAACTCACAGAAAGAGAAACTGATAAAACAATCCCATTTATCATTGCAACAAAAAAAATTAAGATAGCTAGGAATAAATTTAACCAAGGAGTTAAAGGACCTGTACTCAGAAAATTACAGGATGCTGAAAAAAAGAGATAGACGAAGACATAAACTAATGGAAGAATATACCATGTTCATGGATTGGTAGAATCAATATCATTAAAATGTCCATATTACCCAAAGAAATCTATAGATTCAATACAATCCCTATTAAAA